GAAATTAGAAAATAAACTTACATAAGAGGATCAAGTTGATGACTCCATGGAGGACCCAGCAGAGGTTTCATGACCTTAACCAATGACAAACATGTAGAAACTGTGAATTCAGACTGTCCAGGATCAACATCCAGGTACAGAACTTCCTTGCACCGAGATGACAAGAGCCGATTCACCAGGTAACGTGCCAGAGTAGACTTTCCTGTGTTCTGGTCCCCACAAATGACAACTCGAGGAGGCCATTCTGTTACTGGCAGGGAAGGAAGAGTACAGTTCCCCTCTTCCCAAAAGTCTCATCATCTTAATTACAAGGGGCAATGTTAAGTGTTATAGATGAAGTAACTGAAGCAAGGGGCTGTAATTTTTCATTTAAGTCTCAGGTTAAATTTTGATATGAGGTGCACATTGCTGAAGGTCAAAATTGTACTGTCTACCTTCTGATATAGTCATGCACTAGTGTGAACCATGTAGTAGCTATCTGGAAAGAAATGCAATCATTCTTCAAGACCCTTTATCCCAAATCCATGGGGCTCAAGGTGACCCAGGAGCATTCTTCCATGTACCTGCTCCTGAGGAATGGAAAAATACTCAGCAGGTGGGATGTTGAACCTATATTACTTCCACCTTATAAGATGCCCACCAACTGGCCTACTACCTGTCCCACCATGCACTGAGAGAAGTATGGGGATGAAAATAGTAAAATAAAGTTATAGATAGTGGGTGGATTGCATAAAACTGACTTGAGTGTAATGGGACCTTAAACCTTCATTACGCTAAAGTCAGTTTTATGCAATCCAACCCAGTATGTTTTTTAAATTATTAACAGAGAAGAAAGAGTGAATTATAACTGCTTGTGCTGTCAAGTGTGCATATCACTTATGTGCCTCAAATTGATAGCAGGCCTTTGTACATGAGACATGACCTTCACAGAATAAGACCTGGTGACTCTGATGACTGCCTCCCTCTGAATAAATGTAATTTGAGGCCAGATGTTCATGACTTAGGGGAGAATTGAAATGATGTGCTCCTTTGATCATGTAACCATGCAGCCACTTGGCCACAAGGCTCAAGGATGTAGGAACAAAAGGAACCAAATACTCTCCCCCTCCTCACCCTGTTAGATGCATATGGAGATGGAATTCCTGGGATTCTCACTTTCGCTGCATCCCATCCCACTTCCCCACATGTTCATATACATACAGCAATGTTATAGTCTGGTACAGAACAATGGTGATACATTTTTAGGCAGAAGAGACAACATTGGTTATTATTGTCATGTGCATTCTACCATGTGGCATGTCCTACCCGCACTCAACCTCCGTAGGAAGGCTGTCCTTTTATGGGCAGTCTGGAATATATTTAGAATAGACCATATTTCATGCCATTTTCATGCTGTTTTACTATTGCTAGCTTGGCTTCTTGTAGCAGCCCAAAAAATATATACAATTTTCAAGAAAACAGAACCACAACCATTGGATACAAAGAAATACATGAAAGTTACCAGTGCCTTTTTCTTAAATGACATCCCAGGACAAAAACTATGTACCACAGTTCAGAGAAACTTTGGGAGTCATTTCATCATGGGGAAAATTTTACACCAAAAAGGAAAATTTTTTAGATCCTGTGATCCAGGTGATGGCTATTTTGTCATAAAATGTCTACTGATGATCTCATCATAAAAGGTATCTATGAGGACCATCTTTGAAAGAGTTGCAATCAGTAGTTGTGTACTATCTTGCAAGAAGATGGTCCATTATCCCAGATCTCCAGCAATGGCGACAAGGCTACTGTCCTTAGTAATCTAGGATCATTACCAGAACTGAAGGACATCATCTGTTGAGAAGTGGAGTCCATGCACTGCAACATGTTGAAAGTTACAGTCTGCAAAATTGAAAATTGACTGGGAGCAGTATTGGAGATTGGTGGGGGCTGTATTGAACATTTCTTACCATGAAAATGTGAAACGCCAGGAAAATATGAGGCATTCCTTCCTTCTTTGCATAACATTCTCTCTGTGGTACACTCATCATCATCAAACTCCCCAACTTTTCACTGAGCAGTGGTGTAGAGTTTCTTTAGTTATTGTTCCAGAATGCCATCCAACCACCAACCAAATTTATAATTACATTGAAATTGAGTGAAGAAATAAAGAGGAGTCAATTAGACAGGTTAAGGATAGGATAAAATGGTATGTGCATGGGGAGGAAGCAGTGAAAATAAAATGGCTGATGATGATGGTTATCAAATAAGACCAACCTATATAAGAAACATATACAGGGTGTTCATATTTAAATGCAACATAGGGAGAAATTTTCTGCCTGTTGGTGAAGTTCAGCAAGTGCCATAAAGCTCACTGGGTTAGAATAGAATAGAATATAAAATATATTTTCTACATATTTGCAGATAAGAAACAAAGATGAAGGTAAAGACAATGCATAAATAAATAAATAAATAAATAAAAGAGAGAGAAAGAGAGATAGAGAGCCCATTCATTGAACCCAATTGGGTTCATCCTGGATGGCTGGGTTGGAATGCAAAAAAGAATATTTGATTGATTGAATGTATTGCCTTTTTGTTTGTTTGTTTGTTTGTGTGGTTTCTTTTATTATTTATTTTATTTTTCAGGAATCCAGTCAGTCTAACCAGCCTGAAAGGAGCTGTTTTCTATTGTGGATTCTTTTCCTGAAAATAATTTAATAATTTATCTTTAAAGATTTGAATTGATTTTGCAGCCCTTATATCCTCGAGCAGTAAATTAAATATTCTTAGTCCTTATGTGATATTTTGTTCTGCAAACAAATTGCAAATTTTTAAGGATAAAAACAATCACTAGTATGTTGTTTCATGTTTCCTTGCAAATATGCAACTCAGTGGGCCTTGTGGCATTAGCCAAACTCCACATACAGGAAGGAAAAAATTTTTCTTATGTTGCAAACACCCTGTATGCTTATGCCACAAATCATCATGCACGACTTTTCTATATGGATGAGTTCTTTAAGCAGATAGGCCTATTGAAATCTATTGAATTGTTTTTCTCACCATGCTTCTTCTGCACAATTTGATTCACAGCATCCTCCCACTCCGAGGGAATGTGAAGAAGTGGGAGAACTCCATTGATTGGATCATTTGGATCTAGAATGCGAAGTCCAACTTTTTCTTGGAGGTTACGAATCAGGTTCTGCAAGTTGGGTGGGATGTCCTGACGAATTGGAGGAGGGGAAAATACTCCAGGGTAGTAGTGCTTGAGGGTACAAAGCACTGGTGATTTCAATGGCCTTACTATGACGAACACTTCATCCCGTGGGTATCTCACTCGCACCCCATAAGCCAAAAGGGCATTTGTTACATCTTTTGGGCAAGGACCATCAGGGGGTAGGGTGTTCAAAGACAACACAGCACAAACAGCACTAGAGACCAAAGGCAGAAATCCATCCCTCACTGTGATTTCATAACCCATTATCTTGATTCGCCCTGAGATGACCCGTAGTTCCACACACCCCTTCAAATAGAAAGCTACTGGGTGAACAAGGGCAATAATGCATTCCCCTTGAGAGGGCTTGTTGATGTAATATTGTATATCAGCTGATGAGAAAGAGGGATGATATTCCTGAGCCAATACCTCATGTCCAACAGGGAATCTTTGACTGCATGGAATGACATCAGAAGAAGATAAATCCTCTTCATCAGAGGAAAGTTCAATTATGTAAGTGTCAGACGATGATGCTGCATGAGGATGATCTGGAGGAATTTGGGCAAGATTAACCACTTCATCATCAAGGTCAATGACTTCAATGTCAGTGCTCCTTTGCTTCGAAGTTGAGGGTTCTGGGACCTGTTGTTTCCCTTTGCTATGGTTGTTGCTCTGGATATGGCATTTCTCCTCTACTACAATAACATCATCTCCATCTCCACCTACATTCCCTTCTCCCTGCCTCCATCCTCTTAGGTTCTTTTCTTTCAAAGATTTTTTTTCATAACCACTGGCCTCCCCATTCACAGAAGATGTCACCTGTGGATCTCTTACATTTTCTGAAAATTCAGACACCAGAATGGGCTTCCGGGCACCTTCAAGCCTGTCCAGAGATGCCATGACCTGGAACCCCAATTTTCGAGCAGAATGGTCACCTGCTGGAGACAGTTGACTTAATTTTTGTTTCCTTGATGAGACAACTTCACAATGCCATGGGCTGCCTCCTGTATCAAGACAAACATTTTGGAGAAGTTGAAGTGCAGTCTTTTTGGGCAAATTCAATACCCCTCTATGATTTTTGAGCACACGCCGAGAACCGATTGAGCGTCGATGTCGATTATGTTTACTGAGAGGAGTATGATATCCAGATGACTGAACATGACGCTGTCGCTGCCTCCATGGTGATATGCAGCGATGGGGGTATCGATGAGGTTGTAAAAGAGACCCATTTGGTCTCACTTTCATCTAAAAAAAAAAACAAAAAAAAAAAACAAAATAAGAGGGGTTTCAAGAACTGAAGTTCAAGATGCAGAAATTCCTCCACAATTCAAAAATACTCGGGTTGACACAGATTACATGATCATTGACATAGGATATGCTTAAATGGTTTGATGTCATCCCTTCTACTTGCCGGACATTCCTCTTGCTTTTGACCTCTCTAAAGCAATTGACAGGGTATGGCACAGAGGCCTCTTACATAAACTTAAGGGTTAAGGTCTACTTTACCACCTCATCCAAAGTTTTTCATTCTACAGGATGTCCCACATATCTCTGACACATTTCTTTTGTTAATTAATCAAGAATGGATAATGTATTCAACCTGAAATTTTGGGAAAATTTAATAGAAACTTTGGAAATTATGTTCCAACCCCTGGAATTCACATAGCATTGCTTTTTGTTCAGTAACTAAAAATTTTCTAAATGCCCTCCATTCTGATTGATGCACTCTCTGCATCAAACCAAAGCAATATTCATTACTGCCTACAATGTGTTTCTCTCAATGGTACTCTCAACTTTCCTATTTCTATTCTTTAGGTCATCAGCAATCCTTGATTTTGTGTCATACACATTTCCTTTTAGGAAGCACTATAGAAAAATATATTAGGGGCTGGGTAGTGTGCTGATCATGGGACCATGGGGTAGCACCAAATCATGAAATGATTCATTTGCCAAAATTCCTTCTTCCCCAAACTTTGCAGTCCCTGTGCTTCCTAAAAAAAAAAAAAAAATATGTACCACACAAATCCAAGGCACGCTGGTGACCTTAAGAATATAATTAGGAGAATTATCACCACCATTGAGAGAGACACATTGCAGACAGTAATGAACAATGCTTTAGTTTGAATGCAGAGAGTGCATCAATCAGAATGGAGGGCATTTAGAAAATGTTATTTACCAAACAAAATGCAATGCTGTGTGAATTCTGGGGGGTTGGAACATAATTTCCAAAGCTTCTATTAAATTTTCCCAAAATTTCAGGTTGAATACATTATCCATTCTTGATTAATTAACAAAACAGATGTGTCAGAGATATGTGGGACACCCTGTATAACAATCAAGATGGTTGCACCTCAGCACCTTCAGTGATCTATCCTGGTATTCTCCAAAGTAGCATCCTTGGCTCAATCCATTATGCTACTGATCTGATACAGCCCTACCTTGGAAAACAAATACCAACCCAGTGAGGATGACACCAGGCCATGATCTTTTCATCTGAAGTAGCTCAATTTTCAGGAAAGTGTTATGATATCCAAGCAAAAAATGGTTGACAATAACTTCCTGAAGAGTGAACAAAATTCCAAATGTTAAATCAGTAGCCTCAATGTTTCTAAAGTTATAAGGCAAAATTTGCCTCACAGGGAAACAAGTTACACTGAAAAAAAAAATTAACTCTTGGACCAATAAAGCCATACAGGCTAGGAAAACCCTTGTGAACCTGCAAACGAGGTTCACGGGAATGGAGACATGCGGGCAGGTGGCTTGCTTAGTCTGCTTGCATATTCTTCTAGGGAAATTCCAATTTGTCGCCTTAGGTTTGCAGGAAAAAATTTTGCTTTTCCTACACTGCAGCCATGATTATATCTCTGGAGCTGAGATCACCAGGTTTCTTTACTTGCATTTAACCTGAGTTCAATTTCAAAAGTCAATGAGTTGTAAAGTTTATTATTTAATTTTGAAACTTGAATAAAATTTTACTATTTCAATCTCTCTAATCCTTGCAAAGGAAACATGGCAACCATACCAAATTTTAGGATAAGGGACATAAGGG